TTGTTAAATGTGCATAAAACAAACATATTTGGACTGTGTGACAAAACTATAAACTATTTTGTCTTCATTCATTCAATTCAGAATGAACAGTCCAACTTTAGCATACACAGCTACATGTGATGCATTATACAACATACTTGACATTCATTTTATTTCATTTAGTAGATAGCGTTTTAAGAGGAGTCCAACTGATCACATGCAATGATGTACAGAGATCTAATTTACTTTATATTCCACATGTGCATCAGGATATGTTCTAAATAACCAAATTAACCCTGACTGCTGTGCCTTAGCTTCTATTTTGCTTTGACATTCTGAATTAGAACAAATCAATTATTTTCCTGTTATTTTCGATCTATATGAATCCACTGCCAAACATAGGAGCTTGTTAGCACTGGAATGTGTGCTTTTACTGGGGCACAGCAGATCAATACTGGGACATGTGCCCCTATGGGGGGTAGGCTACTACAGTAGGATAATTTAGTAGGCTATTGCACTTCCGTGATGTTGTGTCACAAGTGATGACTTAAAGAAATAAACGGGTTAAAACAGACAGAGTTGAGGCTGAGATTTTCTGATTGTACTAGAATGGATTCCGTTCTTGAAATATTGTAGGTGGTATATTTCCGATAATATAAGTTGATAATATCTTTTGGAAAATTCCAGTCTGGGGGCACACTGTGGGTGGAACAACCCAACCACAGTTTGGGTTTGTAGGATAATAGCTTTATTTGAAAAATATATTTACAATATTCTCCAAACCCAAACTCATATAACTCTGATATTAACACCGTGTCTCAGACTTACTGAGAATCCACCTGAAAGTGAGATGTGTGCGGCGCGTTCTTTCTTTGTCATCAGAACAGATGTCTGCCAGTGGGGCAGTGGTAGGGGAGTCTTCAGGTGGACAGACAGCATAAATGTATTCGACAAAAACAGTTTTCATGTAAGATCTTCAGGAAGAAATCTCGTTTTATGTAGCCTATCAATGTATTGATTTTCCCTGGCTTATACAGAGGGTCAAAGTGAATCTTGTAGCAGCCGGATCAGTTCTAATAGATACCAGTACCAACAGAAAATAATGGGGTTTGTGTGATTTTTAAAGAGCTGTCTGTGGAGAATACACTTCACTAAACACGGCAGAAGGGGAAAAAATAGAGCTGAAGTATAAAAAATGTGACGGTTCCAGGGGAGACATGTGTCTCTTGATTCAGAGTAGACTGACCAAGCACTAACCACTGGGGGAAATGAAGCCAAAACCTACATTTCCTTGAATGGCCACTTGTTAAAATTCCCAACTTTACAGCAGAGATAAACATGTTTATAGCCTGGCTAAAAAAAGGTTTTGGTCTCTTTAACTATATTCTGTGACAACTGTATATTGAGACAAAAAGTTATGCATAATTAAGGGAATGGTCACTTTGAGTGACAGGTGTGTGTGTGTGTGTGTGTGTGTGTTGGGGGGGTCATGCCATAAGTGGCTGCCCACTAGCTGCCTAATGAGCTCCACTCACACTCCACCTCTTTGCCCATTTTTGAATTAGACGCAGCAGGTGGTGTGAAGTGCTTCCATAATAGCAACGACCAGACTTGAGCTTCTAAACGGCTCTTCAAAAAACCAGTGGATGATGTCACGATGGGTTTGTTTGGCCAGCTTTTATATACAGCCAATGAGTGATGCATTTGATAGAATAGAATTCTATCTACAGCATGAGATGGACATGAGACTTGCATAGAAAACACTTCCAAAAAGGCTTCCAAAAATGCTCAGTGTAGATTAGCTGTTAAACTTCTGTGAGACATGCAGATATACATTATAGGCTACAAATGCCTTCAGGCATATAGGCGGGTTAAGTGATGACAGTTCCAAGGGCCAAGGACTAGCAGGGGTCTACAAAATGTCCATAGATGTTGTGTCCATGCATCTTGATTGAATGGCTATAACCATTAAATTCTATTTTCACAGTAGGTGTTAATTAGCCATACCAATAAAATTTAAAAGTCAAAGGTACTTTACTGTGTTTATATTCTGATCGAAGTCAGACGGGGCCATGCAGACACCTCTGTTTCTGTTTGGTTCCTGAATAAATAGACTCCTTTGTAGAATTAATTTATGTTGCAGTTAAAGTAGTGAACACTTTTTAATGACAGTGGAAGTGTGAAACTGTGCCCCTTCAAAAAATGTGAATGCATGTTGCCCCTGTATACATCATTAGTTACATTGAGTGTTGGGGGGCCCAGAACGATATTGTTTCATGGGGTCCAAAATCTCCGGTGGCGCCCCTGTCACCCATTAAACAGACTTTACAGGGCAAAATCGAGAGTTCCTTTCACCCCACCATGCAAAATGCACTTCCTTACAAGCTGTATGCTTTTATTTTGAAGGCAGCATCATTGGTTTGCCGGTATTGTCGCCGTGCATTGACGCCGCTGCCAGCTGAGATAGAGAGAGCCAGGCGGGCGCAGTAGAGACATCAGACACAGAAAGATACGTATCGGAAGATTAAAAAAAAGTATTTTTTTTATTTCCTCGGTCCCTTGTCGACCCTCACAGCCTTCAGCAGGCTCATGGAGAGCGGAGCACTGCTTGTCCGTACGGGGGGCAGGTTGATCGAATGCCTTTCACCACAGCAGCGCCGTTAGATGTTTTCCATTCAGGATTAATTGCTTGCCTAATGGCTTCCAAACATGCACCTCTCTTCAGCAGCGGCTGCAGTGGCCCAGGGGTCAGAGGGGTAAATGATAAACAAGACCCCTGCTCGTCCTCTCCGACTGCATGGATCCTGGATGCAGGGATGGTGGCCGCCTGCTCGCCTAGGAACGGAACGTGGACGCGGTCGCTGAATGGCATGCTGGCCCGGTGTTTGGTGACCATCTGCGCGGTGCTGATGCTGATGATACAGAGCTCATTGGCCATCGACGGTAAGATACTGATGCTGTCTGTATGCATTCAGTCTGTCGGAATGCTCCTTTATTCAGTATAATCAGACGAAGTTCAGTGGCGCTGAATGCTCCGACTCCCAGTGTCAAGATGCTTCGATATTCTTCCATTATTAATATGGATCTTTATTAGCTAGTATAGGAGACGATGACTGAAGATTTCACCAGACTCGGTTAGTTGTGAGTAGTATAATAACCAGTAAACAAGCGGTATAAGATGGCAGTCATTTTGGTCTGGGGCTGTTTTTGTTGAGGGCTTTGTTGCTATTGTCATAGCCTACGCATCATTCAATCATTTAATTTACTGCTCTAATTGCGTTTTATATACGTTTATTTAATATTTAAAATAATCGGGGTAGTGGCACACAGGCCCAAACCGCTATCACGTCCTCTTACACAATGTGGAGCTCAGGGTTGCGCCGCAACAACACACCGCAGCCGTTTCTTCCATTCAGGACGAAACTTTTGATTCATTCATGAGGTCGTCAACCTCGAATAAGATTCATAGGAGATGTCTCATTCTTGGCACAGATAAAATCATTTCTTATCTATTTATGACTATAGGTCTTTAAGAGAAGCAACGATTGATGTAAAGCTTTGTAATGACATAAAACACTGACAACAAAAACCTAGTTTGATAACTTATTTCGTTAATATTTGCCATATAGTTGTAGTGTTTGAAGTCATTGAGAAGAGAGTGGTTTTAAAGAGGGAACATACTGTATTTCAGGCTAAAGCTGAATGAAGTCATCTTTTAATGTGTCTTAAAGCACTGGGCTCTTTGGCAGCATTAACCTCATTTGCACATCTGTTTGTTGGGTAAACCTGTAGGCTTTGACTACACTTGATGATATACTATATGATTACATTTATAATCATCAGTTCTCGAAAAAGAATATTAAGGAGACTCAAACACAACTGGCATACAGTAGATATATACACACACAGTAGAATATCACAAAACTGAGAGTTAAATGCATTTGAGATCATTAAAAATCCAGTTGTTCAAACCAGTTTAAAGCAACATAACCATACCACTGGCTATTAAAGGGTCAATTCAACCAAATTACAAAAAGTTATTCCTCCATTTAACCCCAATGGGAACTAGCCATGCAGAGACAGATGGTTGACAAACTAAAGGACAAACCTGCATAATAAACCTGTAGCAAATTATCCACAGGTGCACAAAATATTATGTCACTGCATTGTTTCACTTTATTGGAGTATTTACCAGTACTAATGAAGTGAATGAGCACAGCTGCAGCTGTGTTCATTTGAATGCCTTCCTGTTTATAAGGATCTGTGCATGGACCTTTGTCTGTGTTGCAAATGTGTCGACCAAGATGGGAGTATAGAAGAAAGAGAAAGTTCATGTTTACTGAACTTTGACAAATCAATGTAATCACAGTCTTCTGCCAGCCAAATCATCTTTTATTTCATTTAGTCATTGAATAATGGTATGATCTGTAAGCTTGCAAAAGTCCCTTATGTTCTCCTCTGCCATCCCAAAAAGAGAGGTGCACTTTAGAAATACCATCTCCTTCTTTAGAAGTGTTCTTAAACCGCACAGATGTTTTAAATGAATTACAGCTGCCATGCTGTCAGCATCCACCCACCCATTAATTATCAACCACTTATCAGGGGATCAGGTAGCAGGTGCAGCGGGTTCAGTAACTTACTGGCCAGACAAAGGGCACTTCAAAGGGGACTTCAAAGGACCCTAGTGAAGCTGACCTTTCAGAGTTGCACTGATTAGGGAAACCAGGGCACTCTCCTGGAGTCAGACCTGAGAGGTAAGCTTATTGGCAAGCCTCAGGTGGCAGGGCTTTGAGCAATGGGGCCTGGTCTGGCAAAGCCCAAAAAATATTTTATGGAGCTCCTACCCTGTGGATCCTGGTCCTACCAATCCCTGGCATCATAAACTGGGGGAGGAGGATGCTGACACCAGTGCCCCAAATTTTAGGACTGCTTTCTGCTAACATGACATACCAGCTGCAGTTCCTTCTGCTGTGGTAAATCGGGTGCTGAGGATATTTGTATATATTTCTTTTCTCTCCTTCTTTATTTTGTGTTTCTGAATGGGAATGCCTTAAAATACATATTGCATGAGACCAAACACACACCTTCCAGGGGCACTTTTCTTCTTTTTTTGTTTTTTTTGCTGGTGCAAAGCCTAACTGCGAAGCTCTCCTAACTCTTTGGTAAAGAACACACACAGTTTATCACCAAAATGTGAACCACAAAACCACAGTAATTATCCCCCAAAGTATGTCAGTAGGTGTTGGCCCACCACATGCCACAGCCTAAATGTAATTTCAACATTGGTGTTGGCAGCCCTAGGATGAGATTTGAAAAACATAAATGTCAAATGTCCTGTCTGTTTCCAGGAATAATGACTCAGTTCTACTCAGGATGTTTACCAGACTACTGTGGAAGGTTTCCAGTATGAGACATGGTCCTGCTGA